CGGCCCCAAATAGGTGGAGGCCGAGGTGAGGGGAACCGGGTCAGAGACTTGGATTCGGGATATGGGGATGTTCCGAGGGTCGAAATTTGCCGGGCTTTATGCAGTTTGGAGCTTAACGGTTGAGGTTTGGGGCTGTTGCCCCCAATGCACAGCAGAAAGTTCGCAGTTCAAGGTTGCGGAGTTGCCGACTTCGGGTCCCAAACCCGGGACCCCCTCAAAAATCACCCTAGACCATAAGCCTTGCCGGCCTTGTGTGAGTCCGGGAATGTCCGCGAGTCGAGACCCAAAGCCTTAAAACCATACCCCAAAGTTTTACATGAGCCCGAATGCCTCAATGCCTGGTTATAGGAATTCGTGATGGATTTGAGGCCAATCGAATGGAGCAGGCTGTCACAATATCCAGGCTGATAAAGTCTTCATGACCTTGGATTTGCTGACAAGTCCGCCGTTAGTGGAGGTTCTGTCGCCTGATATTGTCATGCAGTTGCTTTTTCTGGAAGACTCGTGATACCGTCTCTACAAGGAGTATCTTTCCGTGGAATGGAAGACTTTGCTAGTCATAGTGAGGCGCTCTTGCATGTTGATGGCATGAAACCTCAGTTGCTTCGTACATCTAACGACCCGGTAGTTCAAAGCAGTCTCACTCCTTACCATAAAGACCTCTGAAAACGAGCTCTTGATTTATTGGGGTCCCCCTAAATTCCCACCGCCTCCCGAGAACTCTTGCGGGCAGGTCGGGGCACCGCCAATTCGAGTTGTCCAGAGCTCAGTCTTCTACCATGGAGGCTTTTCCTTGAGCTGCCGGCAGTATCTAGCCCCGCCGCATACAGGGGTTTTCGTCCTCTCAGGTTCGGAGCAGGGTTCCAGCAGTTGGGTCTATCTCCAGGCTGTATTGCCCAGTATAGGTGGTGCACGGAGGTCCGACCGGACCTTTCTGGTCAAAGCGATCCGAGCGGGGAGCCTAAGAAGCCCGAGGCTAACCACCGTTCTCTTTTTTTTTAAGGGGTCTTTGTGGGTGTGGTGGGCTTAATTGTGGATGTCAATACAATTTATCATTCGACGTTTATACTGCTTTTATACTTTTTTGTGAGGATTGAAGGAATCGGCATCCCGTTGTGGATAAGAACTCCTGCTACACATGATGGAACCTTCTCCGATGAAAAGCAAGGTTGAAACGACAGGAAGGGGCGCGACGCGAGACTTCACACCCCGAATCTCAGCCAAAGCCGCCAAGCACCTAAATGCCCTAAAAATCCTAGCAGCCCCTAGCAGCCCTAAAACATCCTAAGACCCTACAAGCCCCGAAGGCCTAGACCCTATAAAATTAGAGCGATTCAGAGAAGATTAGCATGGCCCCTGCGCAAGGATGACACGCAGAAATCGAGAAGTGTAGTGAGTGTCAGGACCCAGAAACCGGACATCGCTTTTGTGAGGAGACCTTGTGAAGTGAGGGCTCAAGGGGTTATGGGGCCGAGGCTGGGTCAAAGGATTCTTGCGTGTTTTGGTGGGCTTTGCGGTTTCGATTTGGCTTTATTTGTTTCGGGGGTTGAGGGGTTCACTGACCTTGAGGTTGAGGGCTTAGGGGCTCAGCGGTTAGGACCGGTTAGGACTTATGGGCCGAGGGCTGTTGGTTCGGTTTAGGTCATGTTGGAGGGGAGGACCTAGGCAGATAGATCCTGCCGCAGTCCAGCACATCTGCCCCCGCACGGGTCTTCGGTGCAATCAGTACGGAGGTTATCTGGGTTTGCCATGCAACTTGTGAGGTGCTCCGGGCAAGTGCCAGAGCCCAAGATTCATTCGGCTCAGCCTTAGCGTTCCCGACAGTAGCTTTGCTTTTTGGGGGCTTACATGATGACTGCTAGGCTGCGTTGTCGAGGCATCGGAAGGTACGCATGTGAACTGGTATGTACCCACACACATGCGCAAAAAGGCATGCACACACACACACACAGAGACATATATCTCTCTCGCTCACGCTTTCTCCGTCGCTCTTTCTCTCTCATTTGTATTGTTTATGTTTATGCAGGTGAGTATGAATGAGCCAATGTAGGGATGTGTTATGAGCACCTCGTATAGCCCCAATCACGAAACCTGTAGATCGCTATAGCTGTGGCGGCCCAAAGCGAAGTTCGTTGAACCGCAAAGCCTGGCAAAACCCTTGTGCGACGGCCGCCGCGAGCCGTGAAAAATCAGCTGAGAGCCCAGAGAGCCTGACCCGCCCTTATAAAGCTGCAGCTTTATTCAACCTAGAAATAATCATAGCACAAGAAAGCCCAGCTACAAGCCTGCACTTATGCCAGAACCCCATTCAAGACTATAGTTGTGGCAAAACCATCTACTATAGCAGAAGAAATTGAAGGGTTTGGGTTTAGGGTTTAGGGTTTTTTTTTGTCACTCCTCCGGTTGCATCCTTCGTTAAACGAGAAGGCCCTGCTGTTGAGGTGTGTTCGCTGGCACACAATCCAAGCCCATGCTGAAAAGGGTTTAGGGTTAAGGGGTTAGGGAAGACAAGTTTCCTTGACAAGAAGCCGACCTACCCAGGCCCTGGCACGGGGCCGGGCCCTCAACTCGCGTCTGTTGCTCTAATCGAAATGTTTGCGGGTTTTTCTACAAAGGTTGCAATGGGTTTCTATCAGGGTGTAGGGTTCAGGTTGTAGGGTTCGGGGTTTAGGGTGTGGGTTCATGGCCTCTTGCCACCTTTCCAGGGTTCTAGACGGATTGTGGAACAATTTCCGACGGATGCTTCAAGCATTGATTTTGCTCCTTGCGGTTGAGGTTTGGGATAGCTTGGAAGGAGCACAGCCAGAGATGCAGCTAGGAACTGCTAGTAGCAGGGATACTTGAAAACCAGCTAGCGGAGAAAAAGATCGGGTGTGGGATAAAGGTAAGAGTGTTGGTTTTGGGGCTTTGTGGGTCCCGGCTGATTGGATGGAGCTCCGGGTTCCAAAAAAGGGCCTTAGGCCTTCGAGATTCAGGCTGCTCGCTGGGGGCTTTGAGAAAAGGGGGATTCGAAACCCTTCTTCCCCTTTCCTCTTTTCGATTCTCCAGAGCCAGAAGGAAAAGCCGCCTGTGAGCCACGGGACCTCTTCGCCCTCCGGTTTCTCACCACCTTCCGGCTTCCGTCTGGATCTCAGCTTCCGACAGACGAATTGGGGCAGAGCCGAGGCTAGGGAAGTCCAAGGAAGACGTGGCAGTCTCTAGGACCCCAGGAAGTGCAAGATTTTAGAGCCCCTAGTCCTTTAACCTTTTAAAGCCCAAAGCCATAAAATCTTGGTAGGAATCCGTTGGGTTTCGAGCTCCTGGAGTTTGTCAGGGGGGTACCCTGTCGAGGGCTTATTGCAGTCCTGCAATTGCTGAATGCTCTTTCTTTTAAGGGCCTTACCGTGTCCGATCCTCAACCCAAACCCTATAATTGGAGAGTTCTCTCTTGGATCATGGAGAGTTTGTGTTGATTTCTTTTTTGAGGGCTTTTCAACAAACCTTGGGCTGATCCAGTGGGAAGCATGCTCAGGTTGACAAGGCTTGAAGAGGGTTGATATAGGGGCCTAAAGAATTACCTATACTAGTTTGGGGGGTTCCTTATTATATAACCAAAGTATAACAAAGTAAAACTGGCCCCTACATTAGCTTCAAGATTGTTGCAGGAGCTTCAGAGGGTCGCTTTCTTCCAAGCTGCTGCCATGGTTTACAACGAGTGCATGGGGGCATGTTTCTACAAGCTCAAAGTGATCTCCGGGGCTGCGCGCTGTTTTCACGGCCCCTGACCCGGAACGGCCGTTTCTCAGGCCAGAGGTGCATGCGCGCATCGAGAAGATCATCGAGGGCGTCATCGAGGTCCTGGGAGCTGCTACGAGGGCTTCTGGGTTCAGGGTTGAGGGAATTGTGGTCCCCTATGTTGGCTCGGCCGAGCATCCAGATCTTCTGTGCTTCCCTAGTTGCGGCGTCTGCTTTTTGTTGCAAAGGTGCCAACCGAAGACAGTTCGAAATTTCGATTCCAGGTGCCTTAAGCCTTAAATATTCTGAGCGCCTTCATTCAACCAGGAGGTGCGCACACGAGTAGGTTTTTAGCTTCCCTCTCCTCTGTGACACGACGCTTGCGATACTTTCGAATCCTACCGTCAGCAAAATCGGGCTTCCGCAGCTCTTTCTTGTCTTGGTGGGCGCAAAATGTGAGTTGCGTCACGAAGCGGCCGAGCACGAGGACGCCAACACGACGACGACGATGACTCTTGAGCTAATAGTACTGTTTTTGTCGTCATGGTGATTGTGGTTGCTTTTGCAGTTGTGGTTGTGGTGATGGGTGTGGTCGTTGCCGTGGCTGTGGTTGTGGTTGTGTTTGCGGTGGTGGTGGTTTTTGTTTTTACCACTGCTGCCATCTGAACAGCGGCTCCTTCTCCGTCTTCTTGTGCAGGCGAGCTGGGAGGAACGCCCCGGCAAGGGAGACTGGGCCGTGCCAGGGCCTGCCCGGGCAAGATTGTGAAGTTTGAGGGCTTTGAGAAGTGGAAGGCTCCGGAGGACTGTTCAAGAGGGTTCCTGGTTGTGCGATTGTGGGCTAAGGATCGGGTTCTCCGTGTATTGTCTGTGCCCGATATGCAGGGGCTTCGGAACTTCAGGGGTTCCCGCTTGTGGCTTGTGGGTGGCTTGGGGTGAGGCTATTGCTTCTGAGTGCTTGTGTTTCAAGGCTGGATGTGTGCAGTAGGCTCTGGCGTCCCGGTGGTTGCCTTTTCAATATGTGCATCTCGATGGGCAGACGAAGTCGTCTTGCTCTTTTGCGACATAGTCTGTATGCCATTAAGTAAACCCCGAGCCCTCCAAGCGGTGCAGGAGGCAGCCAAAACATCAATCCCACTAGGCCCGAGGCAGTCAGCCCCCCACTCGAAGTCCAAAGCTCCACTCCCGAGCCCTAAACTCCAAACCGTAGGAGGGAAAAACATCGCGCAACCGTGTCGTGGTGGCTCAATCAGCTCAGCCTTGGACCGGGTTGCCGTCGCGAGAGAGGCATGCCCCCCATGGCCACCAAACTGGCGGACATTCCTCAGGACGTTGCGGCCCTGGCGGCTGGACTTTATAAGGTGTGCACACGGTTTGATTAGGACAAGTTGTATATGGCTGCAATGACTTTACAACGCGTTGGCTGGCTTTCACATAGTGCCTGATGCTTTATACTGACGGTTGTGCGGTACGACAACCTCAGAACAGGAGTCTTCCATGCGACTCAAGCCAGAACCCCCCCCCCCCAAAGGCAAGGCTCTGCATTGAGCACCTTGCGCAATATGGCTTTCATGATCTCACATGTTGTTATCTACTCGCATATTGTAATTTTTTAAATTGATTTCTGTATAATTCCTGTTTAACAGCAATGTAGTTCAAGGTTCTTGTTTCTATAGCAACGAACGAGCTAGGTAAGTAGATTTGCAAGAACACGAGCAAGAAAGCAAACGAAGTAGATCAACACATCAGTTTACAAATACCTGTACATTTGCACACATGCATGCGTGAGCAAACGCATCTGGATGAGGGATCGCATGCCTGTATGTATGTTTGTGGTTCCGCGTTCTGTGTACCGGTAGCTCCTGACAAATTTCCAAATCCCTCCAAACGTCCGCATGCAAGGTGTGTCACTATCTGCGCCTGGGCCGAACCTTGCGTTTCCCTTTATGCTGGATATCTTGGTTTTTGTTTAGTATTAGGATCCTTATTATATCAATCCCTAATATAGTACCCTAAATAGTAGGATCCTTATTATAAGGATCCCTATTAGGATTTGGAGAAAGGCAGGGGTTCTGTTCGGAAATGAGCAAACTGGTAGAAACGGAAGGTCTGCCTTCGCAGCTACGGGGTCTGCCGCTCACCTCCGACCTCTAGCGTCCTGCGCGTGGACACGTGTAGCCAAATGCAAAACTGATCTTGAAACATGTTGAAGCCCAAACACCCTAAACCCGATATCCTCGCCTGCGTTGCCCGAGTTACAAGAGTCTAAACCCTGAAACCCTATATCCGTAAAGCTTTTGAGCCCTAACGCCGTGAGTTCCTTAGAAATCGAGAAGCCGAAACCCCCCTGTCAAAATCCTTTGAGGAATCCCGAAGATGCTCTCCGGCTGTTGCCAGCAAGCCGCAACGTTCAGAGCCTCTTGTCTAAAGCTTCAGGGTTCAGGCTCGAACCTCTGAGGCGAGTTTGCATCTTGGCAGTCGGGTTGAGAGGTTGGTGTGAGGCGCGCCGAAGGGTTCAGAGATCAGGGACTGTAGTTCGCATGGTGTCTCTCAGCTTTGCTGGCGGCTTCGTTCGCTCTGGTTCATTGTGCAAATGCATTGGACATTAACATAAATATCAGCCAAGTCTTCACTCGCATCTTTATGAACAGTGAAACGATCGAGAGTGTTTACAGACTGCAATTGCATGTAAGCATGCCTGAGGCGAACCCATTCGATGGGCTCAAGGTAAACTTTGCCGCAGCTTTCGGTTTAGAGTTTGCAGCACAGAAGCACCGGGAGGCCCCCCTCCGTGACCCGATGTGTCTAGGATCTTGTAAGGCATGGTGCCAGGCATGCCAATCTTTATAGAGCACTCTGCTACTAGCACGAGCCCTCGCATTTTCCCGGAGCCTGTGCTCGAGACCGTGCGAAGACATGTAAGCACGTCAGAGCAGGCATCACGCAGCAGCCGGATATTTGGCGATGCTTCTGTTTCCTGCGCTGGGGCAGAGGCGGAGCCATCCTAACCGCCCATTATACGAGCATTTAGGTTGAAGTTTCCCAGACGTCAGAGAGGATATTGATGAAACAGTGGGTTCGCAGGAGTCTTTATGAGGTAGCCAGATCGACGAGAAAGAAGCCCTGCATTGAAAGTGCGTGCATGGCTTCATTGCCGCTTTGTTTCCTTTCAGCTGGGTGTAGGGTTTTAGCGAAAAGGCTGGTTGCCCGTGTTCTGCTCATACCCTCCAAAGCCCCGTTCGGAGGCGCCAACCTGCATCTGTATGAAAACGCCAAAGATTGCCTTCGCGACCAGAATGGCTGGTTTCCATGGTGCCACGGTTAGTGTTGAGGCTTGCGTATAGTTGTATCAATGAGGCAGATGGAAAAGAGAGTGTATGCACGCATGTATGCATGCATGCAGGCATGATATGGAAGAGCCTGGCACAGGGGACGGCAGGGCAGGGTAGGCAGGGTAGGGTAGGGTGGGGTAGTATGGATGCATGCATTCATGCGTTTGCATGTATGCACGTACTGGCATATATATATATATATAAACACATACACCCGTCTGTTTTTTACCGTCGTCCGTTCTTCTTTCATAACCAGTGATATTGATATGGCTATTGCCGTAGTAGTATTGAGTAATGGTCGTAGTAAAATCAAGGCTACGACTAGCAATGGTCAGAATAGCACAAGTATAAGTTCTTTCTGCAGCTAGAATGACATTAATAGTATCCTGAGTATGAGTCGCACTGTTAATATTCACCTTGTTGCATATACTGATGTGAAATTTCAATTCCCATGCTCAAGATCATTATTATCAGGCTGATCATTGCCACTAATTGCCCGCGTCTCCACGTATATTATTATTATTAGCCGTGAAGCAAGCAGACTAAGTAATGAGACGTCGGGAGAGAAGCTTCTTGGCTCCGACATCTAAGGCAAGGAACGGTCCGGTCAGCGCCGTGCTTCGAGGTGCGCCGCTTGAAGCCCCTTGATCATTGAAGATCTCCAACACACTTTCCATCGGTTTTGGGGTTCTTATGTTTTATACATTTATAAATAGGATTTTCGTATTTTGGTAGATGCTACCAATTTTTGGGTTCTTCTAGTTTAGTAGAGTTGGGACAGCTTCACCTTTTGTTTCCTTGTGTTCATGGGAAGAAAGGACCCATCAACAGGGATGTGCATCCATGGATCTGCGACCTGGCACCTATTTTGCTCAGTGTTTACGATTTAGTATATTCTTGCTAAACCCTGAACCTTAAACCAGAACCCAAAAGGACATTGTTGTGGAAACCCTAAGCCGCAGCCTCAGCCCTCAAAATGCCAAGGCGAACCACCACGCAGGAGCTCGTGACTGTGAGCGAGGCTCTGAGGCGGCTTGTAGAGATGCGAGTTCTTCTCTCTCTGAAGCGGGATGCTCCGACCCTTAGTAAGCGTGAAGTCAAAGACTCGAAGACTCGAAGACCTCAAACCCACTCTTCGGGCTAGGTGGGCAGGAGTAGAGCTTGCAGGAAATAGCCGTCGTAGCGCGAAGCAATGCTTTGGTCTGTGTATTTCTGCTGATCCTTGTAGTGAGAGCATAAATCTCCAACCCCTCAATCCGCATAGTCCTAGAGCTGAACCTCCACCGCAGTGGCTGCCAGCCCGCACGGCCTCAAGGCTTCCACAAAGGCTGCGGGCTGCCAGCCCGCACAGCCTCAAGGCTTCCACAAAAGGCTGCGGGCTGCCAGCCCGCA